GTATCACCGGTTTGTTTTCTCATCAACTTTAATTAGCTCTGGAGCTGGCGTCACTGACTACACAGAATCCAGAGAACTCATGCTGCGTGCATGTGTGTGTGAGGGAGAGAGAGAGAAAGGCAGAGGGAGAGTTAGATAATCGGGTTTAGCTCTAAATATATTGTCTCAGCTACTGCCTCCTGTCCAAAAGAATTTAGAAACCGCTTGCTTCAGTGGTTCAGGCAAGGAAAAGACAAAAAGCTTTTGTCTCGATCATCCTCATTGAGCTGATTTATCTGGATAAGTCCTGACAGGTGGAGGGTGGAGAAGGGCCCACTGGCAGCTTCCCCGATTAGTGTCCGACAGGCTCACCTGCGCCACTGTTAAAGGCAGACGCGCCCCTACCCCCCCCCCAATCTCAAGGAAGGGGGGAGGGGGGTTTATTTGTCCAAGTCAGAAAGCCGCTTGGCTAGGAGAGCTGAGCCCCCAGTCATATTAATAGTTGTGCTCTGCTGTTATGAGCCCTGAAACTTTTCCAGGATGAGTCCGTTAAGCTGGCCAGCGATGCAGCAGCAGGTTTTAACAATCCTTGCCATGTGCCAGACATTACATCACTGAGTCATGACCACCGCATTATGGCAGCATGTTATAAGGACGGCGAGATCGGCCGTGGCTTAACCATCGCCGTTAACGTAGTGCATGGTGCCCGAATGCCGCGAGGACAGCCCTGGCTTATTAGTCTGCCTGGTGGGGTGTTGTGTGGTGCCTGTCCTTTAGCGAGCCTGGGGTCGGCCCCCCCTCCTCGTCGCAGCTGTAAAGTGCATCTCTCAGGCGGGTGGTCTTGCTCTATTCACATCAGTTTGAAGAGTAGTGTGCTTTGTTTGGATGCTGCTGTTCCATCCAGAATAGAAAAGGACTGAAACAGAAATGGTCAGATGGTGGTAGAAGCACTGGGGGCACCCCCCTCCCCCACTCCCCCCACCAGCATAGCTTCCTTCTGAGAGTAGGAGAATAGAGCTGGCTTCTGGAGCTCTGGGCAGGCTCCCGGCCTGGAAAGATCCACGGTGACGGCAGCAGCATCCTAGCTCGGGGGGGGGGGGGGTACAGGGTGGGTGCCTATGCTGGGGGTTAACAGACATACCCCACTCAGAGTTTTTGGGGGGGCCCGGGAGGGGGGTGTCGGCGGTTGCTTGGTTTGGTTTGGATGGGAATTTGTTGGTAGGTCAGGTGACTTACTGCTGAGCCCTTGTCATGTAGCCTCCCACCCACAAGGGGCAGCACAATCTGACACAGAGGTGACATGGATGCAAAACAATAAATCCCACTTGGGCAAAAAAGCAACAGTAGAAGACTTTTGGCTGTGCTGTCTTTACTCTGGACATTTCGCAGTGTGGAGTGTCATTCACAGTAGGTAGAAGCAACTCGTGTGCATCTATACATTTTCAGATCTTTTGTTCTTTAAGTTACTTCTTGTAGTGAGGTTGGTGCCTGCTGCAGATTCCCCATGTGCCTGGGTCGCAGTGTCCTTCACTGTGTCGCTAGCAGGGTCAGACAGAGGTTGTCATAACTCCAGTCTTAATATTGGGGTGGGCAAGGGGGAGGTTGGGCAGTTGGCAGTCACTGGAATCCTGTGCCTTAGCATTAGCATGAGTGCTAAACACACACACACACACACACACACACGCAGCCAGGCGCTGCTTGGCACAGCATCTCTTGTTCATACACCAGTTTCCTCGCAGGATTTTGCAGGATGTAGCACCGCAGGACACGCCAGTAGTAGGAGGGACGTGCATCTCATGTCGCGCGAGCCTGTAGCGTGTTGGCAGGCTGCTCGGCGTCATGCTCTACAGTCTGCCGTGCAGTCGACGCAGGCGGCACTGGAAGGTGACACCAGCCTCCCCGTTATATTTGGTAGCAAAGTATTTCTGTCTCTGCGCCTGGCTCAGCCACACTGTGCTGGGAGTGAATCCACCCTCCTGTGTAGGCGGGGCCTTGTCAGCACAGGGCTCCACCACCGCCTGTGCCGGTAGCTTGACTGAGAGTAGCAGTCACAGCCAATTATTACTTACTGTGGTGGTTTCTGTAAATAATAGAGAACGGCGACGAGGGCAGCTATCGTCAGATATCTTTTAACGTCCTTCCAGACGGAAAGTTGAAATGCGTAACAGATGAACATGACTGACTCCAGGTGCTCAAGGCTGGAAACGAACAGCGGAGACTGAGGTGGTTGTGTTTGAGCTGTGGAGAGTCTCATCCATCTGGGATGAGACTGAGCTTGGCCAGAGAGATCTGGAAATTTGGACGAGAGGACGCGATTCCTTGGGCTTTATAAACTTTGTGAATCATGTTTGGATGTGGGTTTTTTTTGTGTTCTTCCAACTTGTTCTTCCAAAATAATACATAGTTACAATACAAGTTAGAGAGGGGATAACAGGACACATTATTATTATTATTATTATTATTATTATTAACTGATACTTTTATCAATTATTTTATAATTACTTTTATCAATTATGATTTTTAGGGAGCATGTGAGTGGTTAAGGTGGGGTAAAATATCAGATCATTTAAAAAAAATATTGATAGGTGGCGTAGTCATTAAAGACATGGACTCGTAGCCTGAAGGTGAGTGGTTTGAGTCCCAGGAATAGGCTCCTCTTGTGGTGGGTCTAATTCTAATTCACTGTGGATAAAACCATTAGCTATGCAGATGTGATGCAGACGACTGGTGGTTAACACTGGGAAGTGAGTGTGCGGGCGAGTATCCCGTTCCTCAGTGCCACCTGTTGTATCAAAGATGTCTATTTGCTGTAATTGCCCCGGTGGAGGGTTTGGTTACTGATGAGAATCGTGAGGGCCTGTAATGTGCCGTTATGGGTGGCAGCCCATTCGTCAGCACCACATGGTGTGGATCAAGTTACGCGCCTTTAACGAAATTAATAAGATGCTGCAACAAATTGAATTTTTATAAACCAGGGAATAAGGTCATCGCTGTCTTGTCGAATGCCTTGTGGGTATTGAGCAAGACTGCACACAGGATCGACCTTTTATAGCGTCCTTTTAACGTAATCAACGTTCAGCACACGCTGAGGGTTATGGGTAGCATTTAGCCAAGGCTGTCTGCTCAGGTTTAATGGGGGGGAAAAAAAATCAACAACTGCCTTCAGCCTATCGACTGGTGTTTTTCCACCTTAAAATTTGCATAGAGTAAGCTGATTGGGTGAAAGCTTTTGCATTCCAATTTCTATTTATCTTTTTTTTAGAAACTTGAAAATTGTGCTGTGTCACATTATTTAAAGTGCAGGCGTAAGGACCAGGAAGTAATTAGCTAGAAAGTCAGATATCTGTCTAATTCAGGTGCTTAAACAGGCACCCGTGACTCGATTTCCTTCCCAGTGTTTATTTGGAGATAACGGAGTGTTCATGCTGTCAGCATCAGACACCATTGGCAGGTGTGTCTCCCTACGGAAGGATGTTAGCTCAGTAGTCTGGTCTTGGATAGCAGCGAGACACATAGCGATCACCGTAAGTGTGAACACATACACATGTACTGCCTTTATGCGAACTTCAGGCTTAATAGCTTAATTTCTCGTTTTGTGTTTGGCAATGGAAAAGCAGCTTAATTTGCTACCAGATCATCTATAGCGGAATAACCACTTTCTGATACGATTAATGGTGCCTACTTTAGTAAGGAAGTGTTATGTGGTGAATCGGTGGTTCTGGCTGAGACCCATATGACTGCAAGTGGTATCAGTCCAGTATCGTAGTATTTTTACCATTTCTGTAATGCACAGAGTCTGTTGTTGTGCATCAGGGAGCCGTCGCATGTAATTCAATCTCAGCTGAATGTGAGGCTGGCCGCGATGGTGGTAATGCCGGAGGGTGCAGACAAAGTGAGCGAAAAGTTTCTAACCTGCGCAAGCTTGTTACTTAGTCCTTTTTGTTCAGGAGGCCGCCTATGAGCTCTTGCTTGTGATTCGATGCTGCTGTTACAGGCTCCTCCTCCCCCATCTCTGAGAGCCAATAGGACTTCGGCTTCCTTAGAGCTTGCTGCAAGGCCTCAGGATTGCAGTATTCATTGAATTTTGGCATAACTTTGAAAACACATTATAGTTTCAGAAATGTAGCAGGTGTAGAAATACACTATTTGCCTTATATACTAAAGCCCTGTATAATTTCAGAGGCTTTTATTGAGTTCCTTGAATTTTCCTGGTAAACCCACGTGATTTAAGCAATTTGCAGCCAAAACTGCCATTTAGACTAAAATCCAATTCTGCCCGTAGTTATGGAAATGTCGCAAAATGTTCAACTGGTGAATCCAGAGAGCAGTGTCAAATTATAGACCAACAGCACCCCCTTGTGGCTGTCTTTTAAAAGGTTAACCATGATCTATCATTGCATTACAACCAATCTCATGAAGCAGATGCCGTTAGGTCCAATTCTTCGTAGATACTTGGCAAAGACAATGCGCAAATTCAACAGACAGGTCTGGGGTATGATTCATCATTCCTCCGTCTGAGTTATCGAGCCAGGTTTCATTTGTCAGCCAATCACTGAGACTTTCTGGTCCAGCCTATTAGATAAAGTTATGGATTCACATGGGTATTGATATAGACATAGCCAGTAATGGAGATCTCGGCTTTGAATAAGTAATACAAACTGGATTTTACCTGATACAGGCACTGGTGAATACTTCTTAAAGGTTAGTGGGGCTCATCTGTGGCATGGGTGGTGAAATAGTTTTTCTCAGACAACAATGAGTTGGATCACCTTTGTGTCTGAGCCGTCAGCATTTGCTTCTTGTGGAGGTGAAGTGCAAAATCTGTGGTGCCCTATTATCAGTTCTCCACTTATCCAATCAGCGATCTGCCCTCTGTCTTCACTGAAAACTTTGTGTTCCGCTCAACGCTTATGGTCTTGAGATGCTCGCACTTACTGCGTCATACCACCAGGGGGCAGCAAGGCTGAAAAGCGGCGCGCATCCTTGATGTCTCTTGACCTTTGCCCCCTGTTTCTCTGCAGAGGATGTCCTAACCAAGGATGCAGAGGAGTGTGCGATTTGCCTAGAGGAGCTGGTCCAGGGTGACACCATCGCACGGCTGCCCTGCCTCTGCATCTACCACAAGGGGTGAGAATGCACATCTGCTCACTGCTCAACTGAATGTCATACCTCCCCGGGGGAAGTCCGCAGAAGCCAACGGGCTGAAAAAGTTCCTGTGGCGTAGCGCCCCTGCCATCATAAGCACATAAACACATGTCAGCCCACCCACCAGCAGAGACGGGCAGAGCTGAATGTTTCCACTTCTTGTTTTTACCCTATGAATGCACTACTGTGTTGCATTCAAAACAGCAGAGTGACTTATGGGCACGGCTGGTACCCCGCCACAGCGGGTCACGTCTGGGAAGCCCCTCGGTGGAGGCAGAGCTGCTGTCCGAGGGCCTCGTTTCAGTCACAGTCACCAAAGTCTTCCCTGTAGACTGGAAACTGACGTGACGTGTCTTGGCTGGAAGCTTCCCAAGGCTCTTCAGTCTGCTGTCACCAACATGGCTGTTATTGTGTTTGCTTGTAGCTCATGCTATTTGCTAACAACAAACCTGTCCTCCCCCCTCAGCTGTATAGATGAGTGGTTTGAGGTGAACAGATCATGTCCGGAGCATCCATCGGATTAAAGAACGCCCTAACTGTTTGCACAGGTAACGCTGAGCTGTGTGTGTGCGTGTGTGCATATGTGTTATATATATGTTACATTGTGGGGACAAAATAGACCTGCTAATATTTAGGAGAACCTTCTTTCTGATCTGTCCCCGTCCAGATTTTGCTCCCTTTTTGTGGATCTGCTCCAATTACGACATGCAGCAATCTGATTATGCTCCCCCGTCTTGTTGCCATGGAGACTGCAGCGAATACCGACTGGCACACGCACAGCAGAGCGGACTCCACAGTGGAGAGACGTACGTGGCGTCCAAACGAGTTCGTACAAGTTCTTGGTTGTGCCAAAACACGTGAAAGCAACCTTCAGGGAACCTCTTGTGACACTTCACACGTTTGTGTTTGCACACTGTCTTCTCTCTCCACGACAACCTCAGCTGACCGACTGCATTCCAACCTCCGGGGCCACCGTGGCTGCCAGTCCCCCGTCACTGCTGCACAACTGTCCAATCAGGAAGCAGTGTTGCTGGATCAGCAACCGCCCTTTTCTTCTGCTTAGAGACACTCACGCTGGCTTCTGTAAGCAGGCTGGCCGTCTCAGCTGTTGTTGCTGGAGCAGCAATCCCCTCCTTGATTGTAATCCCGTGAACTCTGAGGCAACCCTTTCTTAACAACCCTCTCCACTAGTGCCTTCGCAGTCAGACCGTGGGGCATCAGAACTGACAGCAGATGGCGCCAGAGGGAAACGCCTCCTAGCCATCATTTTCCGTTTCGCCACAGGAGGGCACCAGACAGGTACCTTTCATCTGACCTGCTGGTGCCTATGGAGATGTGGCTGATGGAACCCGTGCTGATGTAGCAGTGTCTCTTTGGGGAATGAAGCGTCGCTGACCCAACCCTGAGCCACGGTGCCTACCCCACTCCCACTCTGTGTCGCTGTACTGTCATTCAGGGTAATGCTTTTCTGAATAATCCCTCCTGTCAGTACTTGTATGACTCTCCATCAGTCACTTGTGGGAGGCGTTACTACAATCAACAGTTTGTCACCCATGCTCGTAACTTCCACCACTCCCTGCCTTATAAAAAGTTGTTATTGAGAGTGAAACACATTCTTCACCTGCTCCAGAATTCCCACCCCAGGGAGACGCAGTTAATCGGCCAGTCAGCACAGGTAATTCTACAGATGACCTAACCATTGCTCAGCTATGCCCCCTGGTGGCAAGTCCCTAACCCAACCCCCCATAGGAGATGGTCCAGGAGGGCTGTCTGGTTATGAGGTGCACAGCTTTGACCCTGAAAGTAAGCCATGTGGCTGTCATGATCATGACGTCGGCAGTGTAACTCGCAGATCAGTGATGAAGTTGCAATGCGCAGTCACCGAGCATTTGACGATTCAGTGCATCCCGACAGCTGGCAAAGCTGTGCACCTTGGGCCGCAAAATTCGGACAGTCTTGAAGGAGAGAACCTCGGGGGTGCTCGCTGCTAAGTGTTCAGTACTGTAGGAAGGAAACTGTGGGGAATTTCTGAGAGAAGGGAAGGTTGGGTAGCTGCAGGGAGTTGTGGTAGAGCTGGGTTGGCAAACATGCACGAGGGACGGTCTGATTACGTTTAGTCTGTGGTATGAAGAGAAGGGCCCAGTGAGTGTGCATGTTGGAGGAGGTGTTTAGTCTCAGGACAGATGTGGAGCAGCCCGTGGGCAGAGGAAAACTGTGGTATTTTATGGTTTAAGTGCTGTCAAGGTGCTAATGCGCTGCTAATGTAACCTTTCATTTCGGGAAGCAGAGAGCCATCCAATAGAAATTTAGTAACTCTGGCCAATCACAGCGTGTCGCTCTCCCTTTAAAATTGACCTATGGGTCATTTTGAGGTCGTTAAATTCTTCCTGTTCTTCCTGTCTGCAAAAGGTAAAAATCACAACAACTGAGCTGATTTAACTCCTAATGTAGCTTATTTTGGGAGGACAGTCCTTCTGGGCTGCCTGAATACCTTGGGTTGGACGTTTTTGGCATGTGACCGGAAATGCCGGTGTGCAGAGGATTCTGGGAAATAGTGCACAGGTCAGAGTCAAGTTCAGCTTAGCAGCAAATAATCATTTAAGCACCTTTACTAGATTTAACTGAAATGTTGAAATGCATATTTATGCCATGTAAAACTTTTACGTGGATTTTTTTTTTTTTTTAAATGTACATATATATTTTCTGCTCATGTTAAATTTGCCACACCTGAGCCTGCATCGATCCTATTGGATAGGTGTCAAAATCGATCTTTGAAATGATTACAAGGTGTTATTTAATTTGTACAGTAGGGGCTGAAGGTCCATGGTGAGGTTTGGTCACCATGGTGCAATTCCTCTGCAATCAGGAGTTCACACGTATGGCAGTCCTTCACGAGGCTGTGGTGAGCGGACTGACCGTTTAAGGAAGGCGGGGGGGGGGGGGGTGCTGAGAGAAGGGGAGTGAGCATATGGTAAGGCAAAGCCCCATGGTACTTTGTGACAGACCAGAAACGTGCACCCAGGAGATCGTGAGCTTTTTATGATTATTTACTTGTTTGTTTGTGTCATAACATTCCATTTATGTAAAAAAAAAAAAAAAACATGTACAGAAAAATGAAAATAAACAAGCAGAATCCTTTCAGTCTCTGCATGCTCTTTTGTGGGTAATGCTTGCAGCATGTCGGTCATTTGTCCCCCCCCCCCCCATAGTATACGTGTATCCAGGTAAATGAAGACGAATGGCAACAATGAGTGGTAAAAAGCTGAATCCCTTTCCAGCGCTCGTCCTTTAATGTAGATTCAGCTTGATGGCTAAATTCCCTGAGCATCTCCCAAATACCAGCATGGCAGTGAAAAGGCGTGATTCTTACTCGAGCTTAATTACTGTAACCGTAATGGCTTTATTTGCATGCAAGTGTGTATTATGGGTAGCGTGTAGGTGTAGTGGGGTAGTGGGCTAGGCCTGTGTGGCTGTAATCACAAGGCCGCCAGTTCAAACCCAGCCTCAGTGCGTCTGTGGGTCCTTGACTAACCCCTCACTTCCTGGGTGCTGCTACGAGTGGCTTCCCTTTGCGGATGGTACGCTACAAAGAACAAGTTGGGGGAGGTGTAAAAAAGAATTTCCCTGTGGGGACAATAAAGAATTGATTATTATCATCTCTCACCCACTGGCCTGTCCTGCATTTATCAGAGCAGTGCCCATTCGCTCTGCACATGCTTCAAGTCGGCCACAACACTCTTTTTCACTTTTTCAGCAGAACCTGTAGGAATGTTTAAAGTTTAAATTCTCAGAGCATGTCTGTTTCCCAACCTAACCTGAATTGCCCAAGTTAGTCCCCGTTAAGGCTTGTTCCCTTGTTCTTTCATTCCAACATATACCTGGTTTACTTCATCCACCTATTAGTTATGTCAAACTATGAAATCCAGTATTTCCTGAGTACCTCATGGTATTGACATTATCAGATGATAAGTTGTTACTCTTTTGTTTTTAAATTCAGTAAGCCCTGACAAGCAAGCCTGCTAACATTAGCCACGTTTACGTTTCTACACAGGAATCGCTGTCTTCTCTTGTGGTGCGACAGCAGTTTCCTTCATCCAACATTTGCCCTCAGTTCTTACCTCCTTCCTCCCACAAGGACAGCAGCTCAGGGAGAACAAGTCACTTATCACACAATTGCTTATCCCAGAAAATGTGCAAGGTCAAAAGAATTTTTTACCAGCTGGAAAAAGTTAAGGCTCCCCACACCAGATTGCATTATCTGGTGGAATTTGAGGTTTCCTGATTGAGCAAAGGCCCAATAGCAGATTGGAAAGAGCAATTGTAAAAAAAATATGTTTTTTTGGCAACTATCCAAATTATACTTATTTACAGAATGTTGAAATTTAGTAAATTTGTTGATTTTTCAAGATTACCTTCCAAGTCCTACAAAAACGGTCATGTGTTACATATGACTAATATAACTCAATATAACAGCACCTTTTTCCAAAGTTCATATAATGTACATACTTTTTTTTTCTGGAAAACCCCTTAAAATTGATGAAAAAGGTATAACGATTATATACACATACGCATATGGTGATTAATATTTGATCCATGGTAATTCAAAATGTAATTCTGGATTTAATTCAGTTCCTTCCATTTTTGGATAAATCACATGATCATTTGGAACACCAAATGATGAGAGGGGCTGCATAACGTATCAATAGTAAAAAAACAGGTCTACAAAATACACACCATGCAAAACAGACATTTTTTCATTTCATGAAGATCTGAATATCAAGGTCTAAATAAATTTATACAAGAAACATTTTGTAGACTATCAGAAAAATCAGAATATTTAAACAGCCAAAGTATTTCGTAACAACTGCAATACACTTCAAAAATCAAGGCAGTGCAGTGTAAACCAGATCATAAAAGATGGCTAATTGAGAAGTTTTAGGGCAAACATCTTGCATTGTTTTCTCACTCAGTGTAACTCCTGGATGCATCCCTCCATTTCACTCTGTTCCATCCTTTTGTTCTCACAGAGAACAGGTCACTTGATATATTCAATGTGTCCCTGCTGTTTTCTTCTCCGGCACCTAAAGTAGTGGTGTATAATATTATGACATGTTTCATTATACAGTACATTTCAAATACATATACAGGCTTGGCTCTGCTTACATTCGCATTTGGGACCTGGACCACCAGGTGTTTCTCAAGATTAATAAAACACTTAATATTCATACGCTGCAAAAAAAACATGAAGAAAAAAAAAAACAATGCAGGCACAAAACATGGAAAAAAAAAACTATTTGGAATGGGAATTACTTTAAAAAAAAGAAAATCTCCCAGTTTGGGGGGGAAAATAGGCAAAAGAATATAGCCCTTCACCACTGACCACCACTATCTTAAAATTTGTAATAAGGAGAGAAAAAGATATTTTCACCTCTCAAGCAAATTAGTCTCACCTACACAATGACAGAAGTACTCAAAAGCAGTGCAGTTCAAGTACTAAAAATGATGTAAATAGTGAAAATACATTTTTGCCATTTAATATATAATATGATAGGTCTACATTGGAACAATAATTATATTCTATGCACTCAAAGTACTCCAAGTAATTAATATAACCATTTCCATGTTTATTACGTTGCTGGAAAATGAAGACTGAAAATTAAATATCAATATCGCTTGAAGTAAGAAAAAAGTTTATAATATGAGACGCAAATCATAACATTATCTCTTTTTATATTTTATTGAGAAAACATTTTAACATTGATCCAACCAATCAAATATTTTAACAACATAGTTCTTGGGGCCCACCTGACAGGTCCAGCATGAAAAAACAGTTATTATTCTATTACCAGTGTGTAACTCAGCGGGCTAAGCCTCTGTGCCTGTGATCAGAAAGGCGCCGGTTTGAGCCCAGCCTCAGTACATCTGTGGCTCCTTGAGCAAGGCCCTTAGCCCTGGGTTCCCCAAGGCCCTTAACCCCCAGCTCCCTGAGTGCCCCGAGGCCCTTAACCCCCAGCTCCCTAAGTGCCCCGAGGCCCTTAACCCCCAGCTCCCTGGGTGCCCCAAGGCCCTTAACCCCCAGCTCCCTGGGTGCCCCAAGGCCCTTAACCCCCAGCTCCCTGGGTGCTGCTATAGGTGTCTTCCCTTCACAGCCAGCTTTCTCTCACCTACAAAGAGCAAGTCGGGGGAGGCACAAAGAGAATTTCCTAACGGGAGTCAATGAAGTATCAATGACGCCAAGTAAGCTACTAGTTATCTTTAGAATTGGGTACTGGGGCTTAGCACAGTATTCAATAAGAAGGTTTCGTAGTTGTTTTCAGTCATTTTATGTAACATGACACGATGCCTTTCAATAACTATGGCACCTGAGGAGAACAGAAACTTTTCTTCCATTATAAACAAAAAGCCTGGATAACCCCTCTTAAACACACAAGTCACATTAACTTAATCAGGGGAAGTAAGCAAAAAAAAAAACTTGACAAAGACTAGACTATGAAAAAGGGAAGGTAAACTTTATGCTTAAACAAAGTGAACAAATCCCTTCCAACAGAACAACACTGAAGGAAACCCAATCATGCTTTGAACAAATTGTACAGCAGATCCCCAATGTGTTCTGACATTCTTTTATAATGTGACAATGGAAAACAATGGAAACTGCATAATATTTATTATCCTGCTGCTAGTGAGAAAATAAATATATTAATGTGAATTCTTTCACGTTGTGAAGCATCATTACACTGTGTTCCAAATTGTGATGAAAATGACAGTAGGACTTCATCAAAATAAGCATTTAATTTTTAGTTTGTAAATCAGAGTTTTGCTTATTATATTCTTCATGTCATTTGAAATAGTTTATATCAAGCTCAGAGAGTTTTGTCAGGTGATCATTAAAGGTAAACCTACTTAAAGACAGGGTTCCACATTACTAAACAAGTCACAGTTTTCACAAAGTATGGGGAAGAAGAAAGAGCTTTCTGAAGTGGAAATCGTGAAATAGTACAATGCCTTGCAAAAGGCAAAAGTGATATTTCATGAAAGTTAATGAGGGATCATTGAACTGTGATTCAGAACACACACAAAAAAAATACAAATTGTGAAGCAACAAATGTAGGCAGTGTGTGGCTCAGTGGGCTAAGCCTGTGTACCTATGATCAGAAGGTCGCTGGTTCAAACCCAGCCTCAGCACATCCGTGGGTCCTTGAGCAAGGCCCTTAACCCCCCAGCTCCCTGGGTGCCGCAACAGGTGGCTGCCCTTCGCAGAAAGAAAAAAAAAAAAAAAAAAACTTTGCCATGGGGATTAATAAAGTATCTTTTATTATTATTAGGTATTCGAAGCTGCAGGTGACCCTGGAGTCCCAAAACCAGGATCCTGCAGAGGTGAGTAGTTCGACCACCCCTAACAAAAGCTCACAAAGAGAAACGTTTGGATTGGGCTAAAAAGTACATTGTCAAATTTCCAAACAGTTGTATTCACAGACGAATGCCATGCAACACTGGATGGTCCAGATGGATGCAGTTCAGAGTGGTTGGTGAATGGCCACCATGTTCCAACTAGACTGATATCAGCAAGGAGGCAGAGTGATGATTCTGATGAAATATTGGGAAATAAGATGATAAGTCCCTTTAGGGTACCTGATGGTGTAAAACTCACTTCTGCAAAATACTGACCACTTCCTGCCATGTACAAAAAGAAGAACCATGCATTACAGAAAAAATAATATTTTAATGCATGACAATGCAGATGCTTCAAAAAACACCATTGACTCTTTGGTTGCTATTGGGATAAAGCAAGAAAATATCGTGGTGTGGCCAGCATCATCCCACGAGAACCTGTGGATCAAATAAAGAACGACATAGGAAATAAGTGGGTCGGTGCACTCTTTATTCTGTGAATGAGATAACGACCTACTTTAGTTACAAAGGCACAATTCTGGAACGTCATTACAAAGCAACATTTTCCACAGCATGGATTAACTGCACACTGGCTGCCATAATGTGCAAGAATGCTAAGAAAGTAGTTTACTGTGTGGAGGTGTTTTATCAACGGGGGGCATTACACGCAGTCTCCAGTTCTTGATCCATAGAGGCAGATGAAGGTGCTTCATCCTTTCACCAAAGGCCATCGTTGAACCAGTGGCTGAGTGGGAGATTGCTGGGCAATCTTTCGTAAGAAGTATCAAGAAGAATTTTCTTGCATTGGAGCTCACTTTGCACCAGTGCCTGGAAGCCCTCCTGTCTGTGATGACTTCTGCAGCCCAGCCATAGGGGCTGAGACAGGTATTGCATCACCTGTAGATTGTGCACCTTTCCACGAACTAACATGTGCTCAAGAAAGTAAAGTAGCCTGGAACAAAGGCATGTACCCACCCTGCATTATCGTTTTCAGGCGTGGGACCTGAGGCAGAGGGAGACCCCGCTCAAGCTGTGGATAACACATGTGTGAGGATCAGGAATTGTTTCCAAGATCTAGGTTCAGTTTTAAGGAGTTTTACGTGTTGTGGATTATTCATTTCATGATAAACAGGAGTTATTGTGGTTCAGGTAACATGGATGTGATGGTTGGTGTTGGCTCTGTCGGGGCACCTGGGAGCAAGTGAAGGAGAACTGGCATGTGGAGACGGGCAGGATGGAACGGGGACGTCCAGAGACGGGCAGGACGGAACGGGGACGTCCAGAGACGGGCAGGACGGAACGGGGACGTCCAGGATGGAACGGGGACGTCCAGAGACGGGCAGGACGGAACGGGGACGTCCAGAGACGGGCAGGGCAGAACGATCCTCTCTAGGTCAAGAATGTGGGTAAAGTAGCCGCCTCTGGCCTGGGGGCAAGAGGAGCGGTGGAGACATCACCTGCGTCAAACGCTGCAGGCTGGGCGGCCCTCTCTGGGCTGGCAACATTGAGCACAGGTGAAGCGGTCGTCTCTGGGCCTGGCGTGGCAGTGGCCTCCCCTGGGCTGCACATCAGAGGAGTGATGGAGATCTCACCTGGTTAAGGAGCAGCAGCAGTGGGGATGACGAACTCAGGGTTGGATTCTGGCCAGGAAGTAGGGGCTCTGGTGCAGGTTCAGCCTGCTTCTGCAGTCTCCACTTCCTCAGGCCGGAACTAACAGTGAACTTCAAGGAGTCGCCGGGCGAATTGGTAGCCAGCTGCAAAGAGCTAGGAGGTGGAGTGGTGTGGCTTGTTAGGGCCCCTCCCTGGGAGGACTCTTTGGGTGATTGTTGTAAATGACGCAATATAAAATGCACTGAATTTCTCATTTGTATTTTTTTTGTATCGTACTGTATGATGGACTATTGACAGCATTTCCCCCTTTTATAGGAAAATGGGGACTTTTTCCTTACGATTGTTGACTGATGTCTGAGTGATGTTCTGACAGTTGGTTGATTCTGTATCAGTGTTGTGTGTGCAAAAAGAAAGAACGGAAAACAAACAAGTGTCCTGTATAAATTGTCAGTTTAAACTTGTACTCTGCTCACTTGGCCATTTCATTAGTATTATTCAGTATAGTGTTATAAGCCAACCAGAATATTCATTAGTTATCTGAAAATAGAAACAGCTGTACAATGTGTTTAACAGTAAATAATAGTACATAAAACATCTGCACCCTCTGACTTAAGTAAATCATGAGGACTTATATTTTTCCAGCAAATTTCAAATTTAATTTGTCAGATGGTAATCATACGCATATGATCTCCAGTGAAATGTTATAGGGCAGGGCTGCCCAATACGTCGATCGCGATCTACTAGTCGATCGCAAAGATAGTGTGGGTAAATCGTATGGCATAAAAAAAACAGAGGATGGATGACGCATTCAACCGCGCCAGCTGCTGCAAGCTACCGAGTCGCCTAGTTAGCCTCCAATTTATTTCTACTAAACCTAAGAAAGGGTATGAAAATGAATGGGGGAGCTGGACCAAGTAAGAAGCCAAAAACCTACCACTTCCATACGGAATGGGAGGAGGACTGTTTTTTTTCCACCATGTCATATTAGAAGTGCTTTTGCCTCATCTGTCAGTCTACCATTGCTATTCCGAAGCAGGGAAATGTGGAGCGGCATTTTCGGACTGTTCATCAAAAGTACGACATTAACTTCCCTCCGAAAAGCGAGCTGAGAAACAGAAAGGTGAAGGAACTAAAATCCCAGTTAAATTCAAAAATACTTTATTTATCCCAAAGGGAAATTAATAATAATAGTAATAATAATAATAATAATATTAAATAATACTCAATATTTTTATACATAAATATGTTTTGCATTTTTATAGTAGGTAGATCATCTTGACTTGGTCATTTATAAGTAGCTCGCAAGCTGAAAAAGTGTGGGTACCCGTTATAGGAAATAGGTTAGAACAGAGAAAAACGTGATAAGAAAAAAAACAGAAAAACAACACAGTGCAGTTGGAGCAATGATGGCAGCAGCCGACCACACCAGTGCTGATGTTCATGCTCTCTCACACTCTCACACTCTCACGCACGCACACACACACATATATGTCTTAAAAGACAGCAAGATGCACAAATGGTGGAAATGTGTCATTATTTTGTTCAGTGTAGGTTCATAGAAATATTTCACAGGGAAAGCCAACTGACTTCCTGCTGTGCGAGGTAAGACTGTTGTATGTTCCATAGGGATCAAAACATGGCAATTTATATTTGCATATTAAACTGAAATGATCACGATTCGCATGTAAAGTGTGATGTGAACTCAACTGTCAGGCTCATCATCGCCTGTGTGCTCTCTTCAATAACTGAATCAGAATGGCTGTCACATTAGATTTTGTAGGGGCATGAAGACAGTACTAATGGAGGGAAAAGAGGAAAATGGACAGCAAGGCTGATGTGAAGTTTAACTGATTAATCTGGAGGCAGTCAAGGAGTTAAGAAGCTCCTCTGCAGGTTTTTTGCAAATTTGTATTGTTTTTTGTCAATCTGTAATGAATGTCTATGTATAAATGTTGTATATTTATACATATGTCTAAATCAAGTATCTTTTAAGTATTTGAGTTTTTTTTTTTGGTTTGACATTACCAATTCACCTAAATGCATGTTTCTGTACTGCAGGAAGAAACCTGCGTGACATGGTGGGTGCGTGCGAACTCCACACACAGACAGCAGATGGCATGAATCAAACCACATCCTTGGAGCAGTCGGGCGGTCAGACAGTAACGCTACCCTGCCATCCACTTCCTGTAACTGATGCACGAATATTCCGAGTCACTCCTCTATATAAATGCATGTAACCCTAAGTTCTAATTCAACTGTTTTGCATTTCACTAATCAAGATGAAGCTCATTGTCAGTCTCATCATCGCCTGTGCGCTCTTCAATAAAGGTACAGTACTGAATCAAAACAGCTGTGAGATGTGGTTTCATGGGAATTTGCTTTATTTTACTTAACACTGTTCTATAATTTCTTTTAATTAAAGTTTATGTAAATCTGAGTAAAAAAGCCATCAAAAAAAAAAGTTTGGTTGTTTTTAATAATGCATGCATGAAAGGGTTAAAACTTAATTTCCTAGTTCAACTTTAATACGCACTACCTCAAAAACATTCATGATTGTTTTTGTAAATACAAACTACTTTTATTGTCATAATTTTAAAGAACAGATATTTATCCATGTTTAATGTGCCAAAGGAAAAGCGATTGTCTGCATGTTGCCATATGTTTTATAGCTGAAGTTTCACAATAATTATATAGGAAACAGGAGCTGCACACTTAAGATGAAATTCTGAAGGCTGCCCACTGTAAAACCCCAAAATTAAGGCTTTTAAAACTTAATAAAACTTTTATTAGAATAAAAATGTGAGATGTCAGCATTGTATAAGTGGTCATGTGTATGGTATATGATGTGTATATCTGTCTCATATATATTGTCTGATATTTAATGTAAATATTCTATAGTGTACTCGCTCCAGTGCTATAATTGCCTGCGGGAGTGGTGCATCCCGGAAAAAGTTACCTGCCCATCTGCACAGAAATGTGGGAGTACAGCAGCACTTTCCGTCACTGGTGAGTCCATAAAGAAACTTACCTGTACCTGTGACTTACTTGATACCTGTAATACCTTGTTTTTTCACCAAATACTGAAATGAAATTGTCTTGCGTGAAATTTAATAAACAAGAGTTATATAATTCATGTAATTTTTTTCATTCTCTAGGAGAGGGAAATAAACCTCTATCACATGAAAGGCGCTGTATGCAACCTAAGGAGTGTATTTCTGGTTCAGTGAATTTAGGATTTGTAAGAATTGGAATTAACACCACATGCTGTTCTACTGACTTCTGCAACGCTGAAACTATTCCTGGTAATTACAGATACTTGTACACCAACTGTGCTCTAAATAATTTAACCCTGTCTGGATCAAGTGAAGATATTCTAATGATTATAAACTACTGGTATGCCTTGCACATTTTGAAAAGAAACCATCTAAAATAATTGCTTAATGTCTGGACCCATCAAGGTGTTAAAGGTAGTTAGGTATGAAATAAGGTATTAATTTAATGAGGTGCTTAAACTAGGTAGACGGGAGAATAATTAAACCAACTTCTTCAAGAAAGATGAGTTTACAATTACCCTTATGGTTCTATTTATTTGTAGTAACCAGTGTCTAGATTATACCCTGATATTAATGTTGACTAACATTGGTGTCATTTATAAATCTTTATCAGTGACTTGGTATTGCTGGTCTCTTTTGTAGAATATAGTAAGCATCCCTTCAATGGGAAGAAATGCTTCACATGTTCTGAAAAAAACTGTACATCAACACTCACATGTAAGGGAGACGAAAATAGTTGTGTCAAAGCGACAGGTAAGAGTTTGACTTTCTAATATAATGCTGGTTCTATCTGTGGCCAACAGCATCACCACTGTGTATTACAATCTGTTCTATGATCTCCAGGGTACCGATAACTGATGATTGATTTCTCTATTAGCCAAACAGATATATAGTAAAAATGAGTAATTTTAGGTGTGTTTCAGAGTATGTAAAACCTGCTATTCAAGTGTGCCTTGCTAATTATTTTTATACTATCATGTTGTTTTCAGATACTGCTGAAGGCCGTACTAAAATATCAAAAGGATGCATTTCCAGTAGTTTGTGTGCTGATAATGTACCTCTGCTGAACACGGTCTTCAACAAAATCACCTTTAACTGCTGTGAAGGAGACCTGTGTAACACAGCTCACAGTCATGCTGGGCTCAGTTTACTGCTGCTGCTGCCTCTGGCCTGTTTCAGCCTCTTCCACTGAACTTCTTTTACTTCACTTTTATAGTAATATGTGTTTTTCAGGCTTTGATTTTTGTTTATACTCAATATATAATAGTTACTTTTCTGTAAAACCTTTGTATAATGACTGAACAGAAGTTTGGCATTTTCAGTGTCACCATTCTGAGCCCACAGTGATCACGACACAGGCGCGCCTGTGGTTTTCCTGTTTGTTCTACAATGATGTGCGTGCTAAGGATCAGCTGATGCATTACAGTAACAGAGGTTGGCAGTTTTACTCAGTTTAGTTTTCCATTTAGAGCAGGGATGCCCAACTCCAGTCCTGGAGGGCCAGAATTCTGCACATTTTTGGGTTTCCCCTCTTTTAACACACCTGATTCAACTCCTGTGCTAATTACCACACAGCTCTTGAGCTGAATCATTTATGGTGCAACAGGGAAAGAACTAAGCTACACAGGGCTCCGGCCCCCCAGGACTAGAGTTGAACACCCCTGATTTAGAGGAATGGTGAATACATTCAAGTTTTTTTTATTTGTCATTCTTTATTCTGACTTATCTCTGGACAGGATAACAATCAAAAGGAAGCCTAGTTACAATAACTAAGTACACAATAGTTAGTTAACACAAAATCACCATACCTCTGGATACAACCCCGGAAACCTGTATAACACAACTAACCATGATAAACGACAAGTTATTCAACAGCAACATATTTCATATCAAAATATACTGACATATCACATACTGCAGTAAGGTCTCCAACTATGTGACATGCATATTGACATTGAAAATTGGCGTCTCAGGTGGGGATGTCTGACCTAGGATAACTGATAGAGTGATAGAAAACCCAGCACAGGTTAATGTGTTAGATGTTCTGGTGTTTTCTTTAATTGCTTTGCTTTTTTATAAGTTGAACTCATTTTCGTTCCCAGAGGCACAGGTAAACATTCATTTGCAAAACAAAAAAAAAAATCTCTATTACAGGTTTAAATGAATGTCTAATATACAAAGAAAACCAATCATTCCTATATTATGTATTGATGGTCCAGTACATTTTAACTTCACATTTACTTCTAATTCATAGCAAATAATGTCCAATTTAAATATTCATCATCAGTATGTAGCATCATACACATGATTGAAGAACCAAAAGTAATGACTTCTCCAAACGTAATACTTGCCTAACAGTCCCTGCATACTCCTCAAGGTTTTAAGAGCTACCCATTATATATTCCGTTTTATATTTCAAGATTTTAACAGTTTTACCCACCTGGTAGTGGTAGACCACCGGCCACAGGTGCGTTAGATGTTCTGGCGTTTTCTTTAATCCGTGTTGCCAGGTCCAGCAAAAGTCTTTTTCTGCTTGAAAGGTCTGCTTAAAATCCCCAACGGAAGCTGAAATTAGCCCAATATTTGAAATCCCAGTGTACTGTATCTCAAAGAAATAAACCAGTATTTTGCGCGCTGATCACATTGAAATGTTCGACATTTTAAAACCAATGGTGTCACGTAGACGGACGCGCGCTCTTTTCTGTCACTGTCAGTCTGCACACACATGCACACGCATTTACATGTATTTGACAGTTGTATTACCTTGTAAATATTCTGTAGGATCTGCTAACTACCTTTCCGATGTAGCTTACTTTAAGTTTACAATGGAATGACACATATTTGCCGCATCGTTCCTGCGTGAGAGCTGGCGGCGCTGCTTCCATGCGCGTCTGTCTCTCATTTTCGGTGCCTAGCGATTCAGTATTATTCAGCATTAGGAGCCACTTGCTTTCATAATAATTAATTTCCTTTCCCCTTTACAGTCCGCTACCGTGGAACATTATGAAAGCAGCCAAAAAACCCGCAACCTCCTAATATATACCTACAACTCCGTTTTCAAAATAACCAAATTGGGCGAGAAGACCGCAGACCCGCTACCTGCCTTCTTGCTTTTTGATCTTTGCCATAAGCAATGGCTACCCTATCACTACTAGCACGGCGCCCTCTAGAGGATCGCTGTTAAATCACATAAATCTCATAGAAATGGGCATCACTTGTAGAAACCGTTTGAAATACAAAATTAAAATAAAATTACAGGGGTGCCTTTTTATTCCTTTATATCTTCATATATTCTTTATATGTAACTGTTATCTTTTGAAGTCCAATTAGCTTCCAGTCTGCTACAATAACAGTTCTATCCTCAACAATCAGTTAAAATATCATATCAGATCAGCACTAGGCTATGCATCATATAGACACGTATGAAATCGAGAGATGAATTGGTATTTTTATTTATCTAGAAGTATCACATATTCATCATTCAACTAACCTCTGTCATGATAACATGCTAGCAGAACGTTTTTCTGTTAAAAACTTTCCGGGTTTTTTTCCACCTCATTCACTCGCAATGCGCAGATGCCGTGAGGTAGCAGCCGTTCTTAAAGTGGCAGCACCAAATTTTACTAAAGGAAGGCAGTATTACACCACTTGGCTACATTATAATGATTACTGATTCCGTATTAACATGTATGCAGTGAGACAGAATGGGGTTTCAAAGCTACAGATTGAAACACATAAACTAATTAAGCAGCAAGTAATAATTAGATGCATTTCTATGAATTTTCACGTACCCTACCTTCCTCTCCAAGATTAATATGTCAGAAATATTTTTTTAATTATACTAAGAATTGCATAATTGACATAATAATGTTATTTCGTACTATTATACAAAATATTTGATGTCTGAAAATACTTTATATCTGAACCTGAATTGCAGATATCCACAATTTCATTTTTACTAGTACAAATTCTGGTCTTATTTATAATTCACTTCATTATTACATTCACTTGTCCTATTGTCTAACCATCTTGTTGTCTATGTTCATTGTCTGCAGGAGCACATGCAATTGAGCATTTCGTTGTACACGGTACTCATACTTGTACACATGACAATAAAGAATTGAATTGAAAAATACAGTTTTTACTAGCAAAAAATGTAATTGTAGATATCTTGAATTCATATCATATGGTAACGATAGATTTTTACTAGTTAGAATGCAATTTTATTAGTAAAAATTCAGTCATCCTGAGTAAGCCTTAAATCTTTTAAAGTTGGTAGAATCTTGTCAGGTACAGATTTGAAGGAATCTAAGGTTTTAGCTTGCACTACCCCTTCGGGCAGACTATTCCATATTCCAGTTACGAGTGTGAAGAGAAATTCTTTCATAGATCTAAACTAAAGTGTTCCCCCACTTATTTCTGACTGTGGCCACTGGTTCTTGAATTAGAACTTACTTT